ATTTTCTTTAAAGAAATTTCTAGAATAATATAGAACCTATAGATGTGTACAAATGTTTGAAAAAAATACTCATCGGTTAAGACGAATTGATATAGATCTAAGTCATTGTGTAAAAGTAGGAGAATCTAGATCTAGGTGTTTGATAGTTCAGTAGCCTAGATATTTGATAATAAGTTGCGCATCAAATTTTTGACCGCATGCTACAGTAGTGAAGATAGCGTATTATTTTCATCCGAAACATTAATTTCCGCATCCATACACCTTTTTGAGCCTTTATAAGCACATGTAGTCCTACTTTAATTATGTTTTTGTTTTTGAAAGCATTTTCAATTCCTTTCACTTTCACTTCCCACGCGCGGCACATATAATTATGATTATAATTTAAGATTCCAAATCTGACGAATGTATTATAAAATAGCGTATAATGCTGAGTTAGCCAATGCATTGCAATGCGCACTATTATCAATTGATCGAATTGTAACAAGACTTCAATTTGATCCGTAACAAGAGGCCACTTATTTTTTATACGTGTTCATGAATGTGTGTTTGTTTACTGTGTGCGGGGATTAAAAATTAAAGATTTAAGATTCCAGATCTGACGAATGTATTTATAAAATAGCCTAATAGTGCTGGGTTAGCCGATGCCTTGCGATACTTGCTTTTATCAATTAATTGATTTGTAACAGGACTTCGATTTGATCCGTAACAAGACAACACTTATTTGTTCTTATACGTGTTTAAAAATGTGTGTTTGTTTACTGTGTGCGGGCATTAAAGATTCCAGGTCTGACGAATGTATTTATTAAATAGCATATAGGCCTATAGGGCAGGGGTGGCCAACGCATTGCGATACGCACTTTTATCAATTGATCGAATTGTAACAAGACTTCAATTTGATCCGTAACAAGAGACCACTTATTTTTTATACGTGTTCATGAATGTGTGTTTGTTTACTGTGTGCGGGGATTAAAAATTAAAGATTAAAGATTCCAGATCTGACGAATGTATTTATAAAATAGCGTAATAGTGCTGGGTTAGCCGATGCCTTGCGATACTTGCTTTTATCAATTAATTGATTTGTAACAGGACTTCGATTTGATCCGTAACAAGACAACACTTATTTTTTCTTATACGTGTTTAAAAATGTGTGTTTGTTTACTGTGTGCGGGCATTAAAGATTCCAGGTCTGACGAATGTATTTATTAAATAGCATATAGGCCTATAGGGCAGGGGTGGCCAACGCATTGCGATACGCACTTTTATCAATTGATCGAATTGTAACAAGACTTCAATTTGATCCGTAACAAGAGGCCACTTATTTTTTATACGTGTTCATGAATGTGTGTTTGTTTACTGTGTGCGGGGATTAAAAATTAAAGATTTAAGATTCCAGATCTGACGAATGTATTTATAAAATAGCCTAATAGTGCTGGGTTAGCCGATGCCTTGCGATACTTGCTTTTATCAATTAATTGATTTGTAACAGGACTTCGATTTGATCCGTAACAAGACAACACTTATTTGTTCTTATACGTGTTTAAAAATGTGTGTTTGTTTACTGTGTGCGGGCATTAAAGATTCCAGGTCTGACGAATGTATTTATTAAATAGCATATAGGCCTATAGGGCAGGGGTGTCCAACGCATTGCGATACGCACTTTTATCAATTGATCGAATTGTAACAAGACTTCAATTTGATCCGTAACAAGAGGCCACTTATTTTTTATACGTGTTCATGAATGTGTGTTTGTTTACTGTGTGCGGGGATTAAAAATTAAAGATTAAAGATTCCAGGTCTGACGAATGTATTTATTAAATAGCATATAGGCCTATAGGGCAGGGGTGGCCAACGCATTGCGATACGCACTTTTATCAATTGATCGAATTGTAACAAGACTTCAATTTGATCCGTAACAAGAGGCCACTTATTTTTTATACGTGTTCATGAATGTGTGTTTGTTTACTGTGTGCGGGGATTAAAAATTAAAGATTAAAGATTCCAGGTCTGACGAATGTATTTATTAAATAGCATATAGGCCTATAGGGCAGGGGTGTCCAACGCATTGCGATACGCACTTTTATCAATTAATCGAATTGAAACAGGACTTCAATTTGATCCGTAACAACAGACCACTTATTTTTTCTTGTTCGTGTTCCAAAATATGTGTTTGTTTACTGTGTGCGGGGATTACAGGGGGACAAGCCCATCCCCTCGACATGTGATCCAGAGTATGGGGATACATTTTTCTCAAAATGCACACAGCTCTGAAATCCTTGACCAGTGATCACTCGCCATGGAACTCTTTCTGTTGTGACTGTAGACACAAGTTTCTTCATTATCACATCTGAATGAGCCTCTCATTCATGCATTAGAAATCACACTCCCAACACACAGAAAATGAATTTGAACATATATTCAGGAAACATATGCCAGTTCCACTCTTGTTTACTTTGTTTTGCATTATTGGCTTTTATGTGTAAAACAATATTTAGAGGCCTTTTCTGCATTTTTGTGTTTTTGGCAGCATGTACAATAGGCCTATGTATTTTATGTGCAACCGACACATTCTCCAATCGTAGATCTAGTACTAATCAAGACTATATCTAGATACTTTTCCAACAGAGTTAATGTTCATAATTAGTGTTATTATCAAGTGTATTGTGATTGTGAAGATCTTTAGTAGATCTAGATCTAGTAGTAGATCTAGAGATCTAGATCTATCTAGATCTAGATCCCATCATTAAAAAAACAACAACAAACCAACAATACAGATACAAAAACATTGTAACATTGCCAATTATGACATATTGTTGGCAGTAAAAATGTACTAGACTATTTCACTATATTTCCTCTTCGAAGAAAGTTTTAAAATACTGATGTAACTTAATGTAAGGTGTCTTCCAAGCCCTACCACTAGCATCAGCGTGCATAGCAACGCGAAGCCTCGCTGTGCGGCGCAGCCAAAGGTGCCCTCAACTGGCCGCCATGTTTTAGTTTCAATTCCTCACAGCGAATCGGCGATCGCGAAGAGGGAGTTCCGCTTCTATAAGTGTAGAATTCTGTGTGTACACACTACACACGCTGCCTGACAGTGTTATATGCGTCGTAGCCATGTGTATGCTGTGTATCATGAAGAAATCATAAGACCGCATTTTGGGCGGGTGGTTGGAGGGCGCCACTGGTGATAGTGATCCTACTTCTTTACTTTCCCTCTGTTGTTTCTGTTCGTTTGTCCTTCTGACTTTCTTAGCTTTTTCCCGCGCAAAAAGAACATGTAATTTGTCGATGTTCTTTTCTATATATACTCCACTCCAACAAACAAACAAACCGCTCTGTTTCGTAGAGGTTAAGGTGTTGGCCTCTCAATCAGAGGTCCCGGGTTCGAATCCCGGTAGCGACCGAAAAATTTTCTTGTCCAAAATAGTCTCCTTTCACCCCCTTTCCTGCTCTCTAGCAATATTCTGTCGTCTGCTTTCGTCTCATCTTTATTCTTTCTGCAGTTTTGCTGCTGCTACTCTTTAGCTCTTTCTTACTGTTGTCTTTCAGCCACACCCCTGATCTTCTGGTAGGAAAGATATACACATAGCCTTCTCAGACAAAGGGGAAAAATATCGGAGGGCCCGTTTGCAACTTGTGCACATTAAAGGTCCCTTGGAGGTTCAAAATCGAAAGTAGGCTTCGGCAACCACCCGGGCGAAATTCAAAATTTCCTACCAATTGGAAAGGTTTGGTGTGTCCTGCGCGCTTATATAATGTTATGCAGTTGCGAGCGCCGTAAAACACTTTCCAAAAAACAACAACAAAACAACAAACCAACCGCGTATGGCGCACATGACGGCAGGCCTCTTGGCGCGACTCGAGTGGCGTGGTGACATTGAAGTGCCTTGCCCGCTGCATCGGAGCAAAACGGAAACATGATCCTTTTTTTCATTCGAGCGCGTTAAAAGAGTTTAAAGCAAAGCAACAAAATGATAAAAAGCGCAATTTTGAGATCAAATTTGGCGCGCAATGTGCGATGTCAAATGTCAAGTGCGAGAAAGGGCAAAAAGCCTCCTGCAACACCATGTAAAAATTCAGGCCTACTGAATACAGTGTTTATTAGACCAAAAAAAAAAAAAAGAGAGAGAGAGAGAGAGAGAGAGAGAGAGAGAGAGAGAGAGAGAGAGAGAGAGAGAGAGAGAGAGAGAGAGAGAGAGAGAGAGAGAGAGAAAGAGAGAGAGAGAACGAACCCACAACCTTCTCATGGTAGATGTTTCGCGGGCGATCCAAAATGGGACAAGGCCAAGTAAAAAGAGCACAAATCGACTGAACAGAACACTGAACACAACAGCGAGAAACTTGCGGGAGAGGGAGAAAGAGGGGAGAGAGAGAGAGAGAGAGAGAGAGAGAGAGAGAGAGAGAGAGAGAGAGAGAGAGAGAGAGAGAGAGAGAGAGGGAGAGAGAGAGAGAGAGAGAGAGAAGGGGGGAAGGGAGGGAGGGAGAGAGAGAGGGAGAGAGAGAGAGATAGAGAGAGAGAGAGAGAGAGAGAGAGAGAGAGAGAGAGAGAGTTTTAGCTTTAGTCAGGTTTCACGGCACTCGCAACTGCATATATATTAGAGAGAGAGAGAGAGCATTGATTAAACTTAAACTCACCCGAGACCATGAAAATGCTGCAGACTGCATAAAACTTACATGTACAAAGTTAAAAAATGTTAAGGAGGACAGGTTCGTAAAAAGTAAATGGGAGAACTCAGAGGAAATCAAGGCAAAGTTTTAGGTCATAATGTAAAATATATACATGATATATTGGACAGGGACAGGTTCCGGCCTACAAAGTAACATAGCGTTTTTACTATGAAAGATAGAAACGCTGAAAAACAGCGAAGTACATGTAGTGTAAATAGTCGTTAAGGTAGGCTAGTGTTGAAAGTAGAAGGATATAGGGGTTGAGAGAGGTACGTGCGGCCGAACAAGTCTCGAACCCTGAAAAAAGGCAGGTGGGTTAGACGAAAATAATTTAGTGCTTACAAGTGTTGTTAGCTTGAGGAATACAGTACATGTACAGAAATGGGCAAGCAGAAAAAGGCAATTGAAAGAAAGTGACCCCCAAAAAGGAAGCCAAGAGAACTGAGCAACAAGGTGGTTTCAATACAGAACAGCAATACAGAAAGAATTCAGCTCGGAGAAAAGCAAGAAAATGTCTGGTCCGGGTTTTAACTAAGAACAGACTAGACTAGAAGGTGGGGAGAAACGAACAGCTTAGGTTTCAACCAAGAAAAGAAAATGAAAGAAGAAAGGAACGGACGTTTTGGTTTTAACTCAAGGCTTGAGATCCCAATCATCTGGATCAGTGGGGTTTGGTCCTGAAAAGGACCTTGTGCTAGCACCGAATGGCGCTGGTGCGGAAGAAGAGCTGAGAAGTAAATTTACTTCTTGGTAGCAGCAGCTTTCTTGGGCTTGGTGGTTTTGGGTGCGGCTTTCTTGGCCACTTTCTTGGCAGCTGTCGATTTTTTGGCAGGAGAGTTTTTCTTTCCCGGGCTCTTGGTGGTGGCCTTTTTCGTCTTGGCACCGGTGGCCTTTTTGGTAACTTTCTTGACGTCACCAGTCTTCTTGGATTTGGTTGGTGTCTTCTTGGTACCAGGAGCTTTCTTGGGCTTGACGGTTTTCTTGGGGGATTTCTTCTTGTCCTTGGGTTTCTTGTCCTTCTTAGGCTTCTTCTTCTCCACGGATTTCTCGCCCAGGCGAAAAGATCCGGCGGCGCCAGTTCCCTTGGACTGTTTCAGGGTTTCAGCCTTGACTCCGGCTCTCAGGGCGGTCTTGAGGCGGGCGTTGATGGCGGTGGGGTTGTCTCCGACCTTGTAGTTGGCGATGATGTACTTGAGGATGGCCTGTCGGGAGGAACCACCGCGCTCCTTCAGGGAGGAGATGGCAGCGACGACCATGATCTTGTACTGAGGGTGAGCCGGGGGAGCCTTGGGCTTGCCCTGGGCCCTCTTCTTGGCAGGGGTGGTCTTGGTTTGAGCAACAGCAGCTGGTGCGTCAGACATGATGATGATGAATTGATGATCGTAGAGTGAGTGAGCGAAATGTCAAACTAACAATACTAAAGTGCGATTCGTTGTGTTACTCTGGTTGAGAGTTGAAACAAACTGACGTTCCGTCGATCCGCTTGGCTATATATCCCTGCCGCGCGGACGTCCGAGAGAGCATCTACGTCACTGCGCATTTCTCGCCCGGATGATGTCGGACGTTTCGTTGCGCGTCTCGAATCTGTGCAAGTGCATGTAGATTTAGGTGCTAAGCTTTTATTCTCTGCTAATGGGACGTGTTTCTATTGAATACTTGGTTAAATAAATGAATAAAGAAGCATATTTTACTGTTTTCCCTGCTTTTCCATTCGCCTGCAGTTTGAATACAAAGTTTTCCTACC